ACTAAAAACAAAAGCACCAAAAACGCACCAAGCACCAAACTCAAAAATGTTCGCGTTTTGAATACCCACTAAATTTGGTGCGAAAAGCATTAAGTTGGCAACAGTGAATGTAAACAAAAGTATTTTATGACGTCAGCGATTGGGTGGATGCTGTCAAATCGACGATGAGAGGGTTAGCGGTCCGCGAATGGCGCGACCTTTATTTTCTGGATCGTGACATGTTCTCAGAGAGCGCTCAGCATTCTTTAGGGGTGGCTCACAAGCACGAATATGTTCCACTCTCAAACCAAATCGTGGTTGCCTCAACTAAGATTTGGTAACTATGACTAAACCATGTGTTGAAAGAAAGCTTATCTGCATTAGCAGAGCTTAATAACATCCTTTTATGAACCATACGTTAAGTTGAATTGAATTTGTAGAAATATGCTTCAAAGAAATATTTATTAGTATTAACCAAACCCTTCAACTAAATTAACGATTTGTTACAACCTAGATGAATATTAGAAGCTTTAATATATTTATAACTACCAACCCACGGTAATAGTTCCCAATCCTTGGTAGCAGTTCCCAAATATTGTCAAAATTCGGGAACTAAATATCTTTAGTTGTCGAAACTAGTCCTTTTTCTCAGTGTAAGCAAAAAGATGGCTTACATAACAATTTTCCATCTAAACGCTCAAAGCCTTCCGGCTAAAATAGACAAGTTTAGATACATTTTTGAATCGTCTGGCATCGACGTTATTAGTGTATCCGAGACTCAGTTATCTGCGTGGCATAGCGATATTCTGTTTTGTGTTGACGGGTATAAGCTTTTTTGTTCGGATAGAATGGGGCACGGTGGTGGAGTTGCGATGTTTGTAAAATCTGGTTTGTCCTGAAAAATTAATTGTACCTCGGAACCTACCAATTGTATTGAGTACCGTTTCATCGAAATAATGTCAAATTATGATAAAATCCTCGTAGGTTGTGTTTACATACCAAATAAGCAAACAGCTTATGAACATTTTATAGATTTTACTGAAAATCTTTGCCTTGATTTTAACAACATTATAATTGCTGGGGATTTTAACAGCGACCCGCTAACTGAAGGAAAATTTTCCTATGCTATGCACAATATTGGCGTAGTTCCAGTAAACACATCGCCTCCAACACACTTCACGCAATCCAGCAGCACTCTCTTGGACATTTTTTATGTAAGCGACATATCGAAAATCCTCATTTTCGATCAGCTTTCCGTCCCGAATTTTTCAAAGCATGACTTAACCCATATAATCCCAGCGCCCCATTTTTAAAACGCTTAGTTTATTTTAGTTATTAAAAAACGTAATTGTCTATTACCACAAAATCCTTTAGCTACATATTTTTAGATTGTGCGGCAACACTATCACGTGTTTTGTTTTCACCATAACCTCACTTTGTTTTTCAAACGTGTGAAAGAAATTTGGTGTTTTGTACAATTTACGATGTCGCGAAATAATAAGTAAGTTTATGTTGTTATATCTTCAAGTTGTAATATTTTTATGTTAAAGTTTATGAATTTATCTTTGTTGAGTGGAAAAGTAAAGTCAAAAGTGGTTTTTATTGGTTCTGTGAAGTTTTGTAAGAGATATTTTGTGACGCCCCATTTTTGGGGCGCTGAGCACATATGCCCACATGTTTACGTGAGAGGACTTTACTCCTGAATTGCCTACTCAGTCCAAAGTAGCACTTGTTGGCAAGAGTGATTCTGCGTTGGATCTAAATCTGACATTATTATCGGTGTTAATGCCAAGTAAACAAAATTCTCTACTTTCTCGAAATTGTAACTGTCAATAGTGACGTGGGTGCCAAGGCGCGAATGTGCTTACTGTTTGTTTGATGACAGGAGATACTTCGTCTTGTCCTCATTTACCACCAGACCCATGCGCTTTGCTTCCCTATCCAACTTGGAAAAGGCAGAACAGACTTCGCGGATGTCGATGTCATCGGCATAAGCCAGCAACTGCACGCTCTTGTAGTAAATTGTTCCTGAGCGGTTCAGTTCTGCAGCTCTTATTATCTTCTCCAACATCAGATTAAAGAAGTCACATGAAACCCCGTTTTGTGGCGAACGGCTCGGAGAGGTCTTTTCCAATTCTGACGGAGCTGGTGGTATTGCTCAACGTCATTTTGCACAGCCGTATGAGTTTTGAGGGGATGCCAAATTCAGACATAGCGGCGTATAGGCAACTCCTTTTAGTGCTGTCAAAAGCGGCTTTAAAGTCGACAAATAGGTGGTGAGTGTAGATCCTTTTCTCGCGGGTCTTTTCCAAGATTTGGCGTATTGTGAATACCTGGTCTATGGTGGATTTGCCAGGTCTAAAGCCACACTGATAAGGCCCAATCAGTTCATTGACGGTGGGATTCAGTCTTTCACACAATACGCTCGATAAGACCTTGTAACCTATGCTTAGAAGGCTGATCCCGCGGTAGTTGGCGCGAGTGGCGGGGTCACCTTTCTTGTGAATTGGGCAGAGCACACTTAAATTCCAGTCGTCGGGCATGCGTTCATCTGACCATATTCTGCACAAGAGTTGATGCATGCACCTTATCAACTCCTCGCCGCCGTACTTGAATAGCTCAGCTGGCAGGCTGTCCAGCGGCTTTGTTGTTTTTCAGCCGCGTTATTGCTATACGTACCTCGTCATAGTCAGGCGGTGGAACGTCGACTCCGTCATCATCGACTGCGGGCTCGGGTTCTTCTTCTCCACAACTTTCCGTGCTGCTACCATTTAGTAGGGCGGAAAAGTGTTCCCTCCATAATTTAAG